GTTCGTTTCTTCCGGGTTCATAACTTAAAACCAAGCATATACTTTCAATCTAAATAGTTTGCGTACGTAAAGATAAGAAGGTTGGAAGTAAAGACATAAGGGGGATAAACATATCCTCGATAAATTTTTGAAGGCCGGAGCAACTTCAGCATCAGGCAACTTTACTGTAGAAGGAGTTTGCCAAGTCTATGTCCAAGCGACCTGTTGATGTCTGATACAAAATGCGACACTGTACATAGCTACTATTCTCCAGCCAGCCGAACGCATTTTGTCAATACTCCTGTCGTACAATGGACTCTACAATGATTTCGTATGGTTATGGAGTTTTTTAATCATTTTTTTCATATACCTGTCTTTTTGTCCATCATTATGCATACTTATATAATATTTAAGACGGATGGGTTGACATCGTGAAAGTGTTTCCTTTAAAGCTGACATTTTAATGTAAACACTTCCCCCAGAGTGAAGTCAAAATGATATGCGACATTTTCACTTTCAACTCGCAAAAGCTTAAATTATCATTTTATGACAGGAAACGAATAGCAAATTAGATCATATATGTTAATAGGTTGTCTTATTATTATTGATTCTAAATAAATGTGCGGACGAAATACATGTGTCATGTGTGCTTGTCCTGAAATACTATCAAATAAAGTGTTTGTAAATATGTTCCTCAAGTTGATATCTATATTCTATGCTTATAGTTTTTTTTATATATTATTTGTGTATAATATTGCCTCAGGGAAGTTTCATATACCCATACATTTCCATAGATAAACGGGAATTATGAAAACTCCTTTTCACATGAAGTAATGTATATGAAATGTACTAAAGTAAATATACTTAGATTACACAAGACATTAATTATTCAGTCTAACTGTGTTTGTATTAAACCGGAAATTGAAGTTGATAAATAGAGTGAAAACATCCAAAACATTTTCATGATGGTAAGGACAAATGTGATGTCAATTATTACAAATCAAGACCGGAGAAGCGGGGATGTCGTTTTAGTCCGTTCAAGGGAAAAGCAAATCAAACCTAAATTTCCGCCTTTCAAACTGCAAGGTAACCGACGTCTCACTATTGCTCCTGTAAAAATAATTACTGAGCAGAATTTTATATTTGGTATTTTTAAAAGCATACATAACTCCTTATATCCTTCAAATGAGCTTCTCGTTGGGATTCCAGATTGAATAAATGACCAGTAACCTATACTGGTCAAAAGACGCGACAAGATGGATGGGGTGGTCACTCGGTTGCTATCGTGTCAACGTGCCTCGATTGCGTGGATCTTTGCACGTTAGATTAATCACTGGATTGTCCGGTTCAGACTATTACTTGCAGGCCGCTGTCATTAGCTGGAATAGTGACACGCACGCACGCAACACAGCGTCCATAAGGCGCATTTTCAGCCCAAAACAATATCAGTGATTTATGTGTGTCGAAAAGAAAAGGATCACTGTTTATTCTGGGGTTTCTCTTTCCCGTCGAAAGTTCCCACATTGAACATCACAAGCCAGCATCGCGTGTAGCAGTGAAGCGCCCTGTAAATATTACATCAATCGGCTAACCAACGGCAGTCAATGTCCATGTAACGCGTCTTACTTACAAAGTCAACAACAGTCAGGTTAATAATCTCGCGACTTGAGGTTGACACGATGTATTGCTATCGGACGAGAGACTGGCCAGACGTGACCGCCAATTAATGTTCACATTAAAGCGTATGAGGTGAGATGAAATTGGGTATGAGGCCGCGTTCAAGATTACTGCACTTATATAGCGACGTGCATGCATACATTTTATTAGGTAGAATAGGTCTTCAGCAGCCCATGCTTGCAGTAAAAGGTGACAGGTTCGCTGACTTGGTTGATACATGTCATCGTATCCCAATTGCGTGGATTGATGCTCATGATGTCAATCACTGGATTGCCTGGTCCAGACTCGATTATTTACAGTAGGGGTGACTATTGGTCTGGAAATCACTATTGCGATAACTATTGATATTGAGAGAAACTATTTCGATTACTATTGAAATTGCAAGCAACTATTGCGATAAATATCGATAGTTTTCAGTGTATCGTTTAGATGGATTTTAGAGTTGAATTAAACCTTGGAACTGAAGTTTCCTTTGAATGTTGTAACCATAACAACAAATAAAACGTAAAGTTTGAGATATGACTGATTTGTTTTTTCTTTACCCCAATAATTTAAGAAAAAGAAACTTCCACATTACCATGTGTTAATTGGTACCACTCGTGATCAAAAGAAAAACAAATATGAACAGCATTGCATATATTTTATTGACACGGTAAATACAATCGAAACTATCGATGTTCCTAAATGAAATCGATAATATATATATATATATATATATATATATATATATATATATATATATATATATATATATTGATCGGAAATTGATTTAACAATCGATTTATTGACTTTAAATGCTTACCAATAGCGATATAGCGATATTTCGATTATCGTGACACCCCTAATTTACAGACAGCCGCCATATAGTTGGACTATTGCTGAGTGCGGCGTTAAACAACAAACAAACAAACAACATTTAATTCAAGTTTTCAAAATGGCCGACACGATCAACGTGAAAAGGGAGATTTGTGGCGTTAGTTATGCACCAGTTGTGACTCTCCCATTCTCCAGTCATAGATAATGCCCATTTCTGGTACAGTAAACTACGGTTATAACGAACACGCTTATAACGAACTGACGGATATAACGAACTTACTTTTTGGTCCCGACTATTTGCTGTAGTTATGCTGTATATATGTTTATAACGAACTTCGGTTATAACGAACTAAAATTAGTAGTCCCTTTGAGTTCGTTATAACCGTACTTTACTGTATATCCATTCGAAAAGGTTTCTCAGAAAGTCGGAATTCAGGTACCGCCAGAGGAAAGAATTGCAGAAATACATGTTGCGTAGACAATTGTTTGCAAACGGTTTTCCGCAGTTTCTGAAAAGATGAATTTACGCCATTGAACATTCAAATATATCCACTGAAATAAACATCATTTCCCACAAAACATGAACACTCTACTACAACGTCATATAAAAGTAACTGTATTTCATATAAAGTTCGGAGCGGTGGGGTAGCCTAGTTGTTAAAGCGTTCGCTCCTCACACCATAGACCCCGGTTCGATTCCCCTCATAGGTACAATGTGTGAAGCTCATTTCTGGTATCCCAGATATATTGCCGTGGTATTGCTGGATTATTGCTAAAAGCGGCGTAAAACCATACCCACTCACTCACTCATATAAAGTTCAATTACAATAACATTTCTTGCACGCAGCAATATTCCAGAAATAAAACGGAGTCAAAACCAAATTTTCACCTCCGTCTGACATAAAGTGGATGCTGGTGGACCAACGTCTTTATTTGGCTTTGTAAAACCAGTGTCTGAATTAAAAGCAACAAAAGGGCAAAAGATTTATTTGCAATTTAGTATCTGATATTACCATAAAATAATTATAGTTGCTGACAAGTAAGTATTCTTTTATCCCCCCTATTTAGTGAATGGAAAAGTAACTATTCCCCCATTTTCAATTTTGATGGGGGACCTCCTCCTCTATGTTGATATCCTAGATTATTCTCTGAGTCTGGACCAGATTATACAGTGATTGATATCATGAGCATCGATCCACACAATTAGGTCACGGTGACATGCAATAAGCCGAGTCACTGATCCTAACCACCCGATTCACTGAGTCGCCTCTTACGACAAGCATATTAGGTTGCTGGAGACCTGACGTCACACCCAGAATCCCCTCGTTCTTAACAAAACGCAAGTAACAGCACGATGGGTCTCTGTAGAAAAGAGTTACCAGGTTCGGAAAATTAATTAGTTAAGTTCAAATATATAGTCATTTATTCATATTGCAAATACACATGTAGTCAAAATATGACGGTACCTCATACACATGCAGCGATAGAACTATTAACGATAATATAACACGACCCGTAAAGATCCTGGGTAGCATAGGTCTTCAGCAAACCATGCTTGCCGTAAAAGCGACTATGCTTGTCGTAAGAGGTGACCAATAGGATCGGGTGGTCAGGCTCGCTGACTTGGTTGATGAATGTCATTGTATCCAAATAGCGTGGATTGTCTGGTCCAGACTCGATTATGAACAGACCGCCGTCATATGGCTGTAATATTGCTGAGTGCGGCGTTAAACAACAAACAAACAAACAAATATAATACAACACTGAGCAAAATCTTAATGCCTTAAAACTTCACAAATTACACGCATTATAATAACATCGTTAAACAAAGTCGTTAACTCAAACTCGTTAACTTGAGATAAATCTAAAGTTAATTTAATTTGATTATCACAATGCTTGTCTCGAGGTGCGGCTGCCGCCATATGTTTTCGATGGGCCCCATGGCAACGAATTAACGCGGTTCACTGTGATTGCGGTTAACTGAGATAAGTAGGTTGAGGAAATCATTATACACCCTTATTCCCATGGCGGCCAGTCATTGCAAGGCAAAGGCTGTAGCCTGACATGACATTGTTAATGGGGGTGTCTCTGACGAGGATGGTCCTAGGATATCCTTCATCTCAGCATGTGGGATGTTTCTTATCATCCAATATGTCGTCAGTACCATAAGCAGACGATACCTTCCGGCTATGACGTCAGCATACTAGCCTACGTGACCTTTAGTCCTGAGGGTGGAGTTTGGACACCATAAACCTTGTATTGTTTAAATCTGAATTTCCTGTAAATAGTGTCCTTGAATGAAAAAAAAACATAATCCCAAACAAGAGCTAATTTAGGGCTTCACACGAATGACTACAGCTGGCTGTTTCACATGCTAATCTCACAGAGCAATAACACCAAGTCAACTATGTGTCTTGTTAATCTTCTCATCTGACGATGCCCTTATCACACCTGTTTCAAGTGTGTTGGTTGCTGATAGGCTGTAGAAATGACATAGAGTTATCACCCTTGAGTGACTACACTACACATCCTGGGGCTATGTAAACACGTGCTGACAGTCAACTAGAAGAAAACATTATTTGATAGCCCGGGAATTGTTCAAGCTGTGAATGAATTTAAAGACGTGTCGAAAACTTAACGTTGCTTGGCGAGGAAGGTTCGTCTTGTACGAGACTGAGCACAGGAGTCTCTGTACACCGGAATTGTGGATGAAGGTGGCTCCCGATTAATCTATCTTTCCATGGTGAGGTAGAGAAGTGGATGAGTCTGAAGTGATTTAGATACAGGAGACTGGTTTTATGAGTCAATTCCAGCGGACATTACTATTTATCTCCATTTAAATTGTCAAATGGATTTGTTTGGATTTGCAATCTAATCCTTGACAAATCGGTGACACTTAACTTGAGGAAATTGAAAGAGCGTCATATGTATTATAAGGCTTAACCTTACCTTTATTTAGACAGCTTGGTGATTATATGAATTTTCTAACAATCTGATTACTGGGAGATAGAGAAATGGAAACTGATAACACGGCTAAAGGTGACAACACGAATGGTTGCGTAGTGACGGATGACGGAAACTGTGAGGGTAATATGTTGGATGGTCGATCTCGATGTCACTTGCTGAAACGATCTGAGAGCTTGCGGACGAGAAGACTTGGGCGGATTGCTGTCCCCACGATCACTGTCCAGGGAGCCGACGATAGCAATGTTGAGCCGAAGTGCGTGAGTAAATTTACCAAATCACATTCTCTAGATGAGGGCATGGAGGAAAGTTTCAAACCCGGCCTAGAGTTCAACATTGTTGTTTCTCCCAAAAAACTTGTCTCCTTGTCGAAAACCACTTTTGGGAAAAACTTGAAAAAGGCCGAAATGTTGACCAGTGTTAAAATCAATGGCGTAGGAATTTCCCATCTGGATGAAGTAGATGGAACCAAAAATCAAATGATGAAAGATGTTGATTCAGACCAGGAAAATGTTCCAAATGGGAGGAAAGTTATGCTTGATTTAGCTGATAAACTCCCAGAGAGGAGGACTTCAGTTCCAAGAGCAAGAAAGACCTCCGCTCAGTCGATCGCTCCAGTCAGACGCTTGTCGCCAGTTCCAAAACGTGTCCCAGATGCTGCAGAGCGGAAGCAGTCCTTAACGAATCTGATGGACTCTGGGAAGAAACGTCGTGATTCGGTTGCCGCTTTGCCGTCAGCTAAATCCTTCATCCCGCCATCCACAAAACATCGTCGGCTGAGTTTAGCTCCAACTCCGTCGATACCACGACGACGAAGCAGCGTCAAAGACACACTTTCATCTTATGTTGGACCGTCCGGGAAGGATGGACATACGAAGCGCGTGCGTGAACTGTTAACAAACAATGGCTTACCGTTCGGACTTGATCAGGAAGAACTTAAAAATATTCAGATTGTGAAAGATCAAATAGACGTGTCCATCCCTATTTTCAACGTCACTGAAACTAAAATCTGCTTCACTGACATCAAGACCATTGAGGATGCCATCAGGCATCTCCGACCGGATGTCACGGTACTCAAATCTCCCCCGACAAATGACGATGGGAAGGGGAAAAATGATCATCATGGTGCTCTGCCCATGCAAGGTAAGAAACTACAGACGAAGCAGGCATTTCAGTGAAATAAAGTGTATACGTCTTAGATGGAACATTGTATCCATAGGGGACTCGAACCCGGGCCCTTTCGCGGGACGAGCCAACACTTTAAACACTAAGCTACCCCACCATTCCGGGTGTAAAGGTTAATGTTTGTTTTTTAATGCCGCACTCCGCTCTATTCCAGCAAAGTGACGACGGTCTGTAAATAATCGAGTCTGGGCCAGACAATCCAGTGATTGACAGCATGAATATTGATCCACGCAATTGGGATACGATGACATGCATCAAACCAAGTCAGCGAGCCTGACAACCCGATCCCGTTAATCGCCTCGACAAGCTCCGGTTGCTGAAAACGTTCCGATTTAGAGCTATGGAGTAACGAAGTGGTTAAACATTCCCTCGTCACACTGAAGGCCCGGGTTCGATTCCCAAAATGGGTACAATGTGTGAAGCCCATTTATGGGGACCCGAGCCCTGATATTGCTGAAATATTGTTAAAAGCAACGTCATCATTTTGTCGGGTTGTCTCTGACCGATGACCTAGCACTGATCAGATAACCTTCATATATGTAAGCAGAGTGATTTTGTGCTTAACCATTCGCAGCTGTTAATAGTACCTGTTTTGTAAATTTATCAACAGAGTGTTTTTATCAGTACTGTCGTGGATGAACCGATTGACAGATGAATGATACATTGTAAATTGACTCGGATCATCCGACGTAACAGATTCCATTGTGCGTAAGATACAAACTAGCGGTGGAGGTGAGGTGAGGTGAAATTGGGTTTAACGTCGCGTCCAAGATTATTGCACTTATATAGCGACATGCATGTACGTGGGGATGTTTGTGTGGCTGCTTGTACTAGCCCGGACTAATGCCGATTTATAGTGCTAGCTCACTGAGATACCATGCCGCAGTTTAACATGAATACCCCACTCAGACACAGTATACTGACTCCGAGCCGACCAGTCCTTGTTTTAGCCCCTTAATGCCGAGCGCCAGACAGGGTAACAACAAGTACCATCTTTTAACGTCTTTTGGTATGACGCGGCCGGGGATCGAACCCCGGACCTTCCCTTCGGGCGGACGCTCTACCACCAGACCACGGAGGCGGTCACTAGCGGTGGAAGATGAATGGATCACTGAAAATCAATGTCACGCACTGGAATTATCTGAAATCATCTATGAACAGCGTATTGATAACACTAGAGGCCTACGTGCCGAAATACTACAAGTCCATTGACAATGGTCATGAGATTGTTACAGACTGTTGTTGTGGACTTTGGTTTGTTGATCGTCCCTGCCCCTCTATGATAACCCTTCCCTCGTCAAGTGGGCAGCGGCGACACGATAGGGCCCCTTGATAACTCTATCACGCGAAGATTTCATTCATGTGTATTGTGTATGGCATGGATATTTCATTCTCATAGCTAAAATAACAGGGGTTCCCTGCAATATTGTTCCTCGTATATAATGGAAACCATACCTCTCAGTTGATTTTCTCTTTTTTTTTAATTTTCAGTGTAAAATATATTAAGTTATATCCAAATTGTACTGGTCCTAAGTCGTCATTCAAAGAATACTTGTACATGGTTTTAATTTTAACATTCAAAAATTCAAAAATAATAAGCGCAGAATAACTGCTCAGGTTAAGAGGGGTGTCTTAGACATCTTATCTCTGAAAATAATAAATTTGCTCTTTTTTGACAAATGTACAGCATGTCAAACATGGCAGGGGTCATGTGGATGCAAACTCATTTCTTACCCCAGTCTTCTTTGAACCAATTTATTTTTTTCATAAAACTACCCAGCCACAGATTACTTATGAAAAACTGTTGCAGGAATGAGTGATGGTTAAAAAGACATAATCAAATTTAACAACAGTAACTGTTCTTTCAGTTTTCATTAAAAAAACCCAACTCATTATACTTTCGTTTGCCCCTGAGTTTTGTCTATTATGGTCAGCTTTGTTAAGGGTTGAGACAAAGATTTATGACAAATCAACTTAACAGAGACAAGGGCTAAACTAACACTGACACGAACCTCACCTACAAAGACAATGGTGTTACCATGGTGACTCAGAAATAGGTGTGCACAATTGTGACATCAGTAGGGAAAACACAGGATCAATGAATAATCAATAAATTATATTAAAAAAACAGTCAGTGACTGAAATAACCCACGCAAGGGTTACATTATAACATAGACATTTAATGAAGTAAACGTCACCGATGAGTGATACACGAAGATCAAAGGCGCCTGTATCTTTAGCAGGGCGTGACTTGTGACCTGAAGGCCACGGTAATACAAGCGTATATCAGATAGATGTGCAGGTTATCATTGATACAGTTCGACACAGAAAGCCGTCTCCATTTAGTGACGTCATCAGTCTAAGTCCGTATCAGTATAAAGCACTGAAGGACAGACCTGATCTGTCTCCGAGAACCAAGAAAATAAGTTAAATAATGACTCCTACACAAGTCTAGAATAAATTGGCAAGTCTAGATTGGTTCAGCTCTTGAAGACCCGTGAAGGTCCGGGGTAGAATAGCTCTTCAGCAACCCATGCTTGCCGTAAAAGGCGACCATGCTTGTCGTAAAAGACGACTAACGGGATCGGGTGGTCAGGCTCGCTGACTTGGTTGATGCATGTCATCGATCCCAATTGCGTGGATCGATATTCATGATGTCAATCACTGGATTGTCTGGTCCAGACTCGATTATTTACAGACCGCCGTCATATAGCTGGAATATTGCTGAGTGCGGCGTAAAACAACAAACCAACCAACCAATCACTTCTTGAAGGCCTGAAATTGAGCCTTGTTCTGTCCTCCGTTTTGATTTTATGGCATATATATATTTTTAAATAAGATAACTATATTTCTGAGTCTAAATACGAGTCTAGGACCGACCATACTAACACGATTGGCTATTTGTCTAGGGGTCTGTGGGTAAATGGCATAAGAACAATCATCACCAAGTGACAAACATCTATTAGTGTAAAGTGTTTCAGTTATGTTAACATGTACATGTACGTATATAAGGTCATATTGTGTAAGGTTCGTGTTACCATAGGTTCGCGTTAAGCCTAATTCTAATAATATATACTACACTGACGAGAGACAAAATATAACGAAATCGAATTTATTAGACATTGAATTTTCCGAAATAAATAAGTTAAATATTTTTCATTAAAAGCATTAATTATGCAGAAATGCAACAAACACAAGTGCAACTGCAAATCTTACTTTAGTTCACTGAATTCCGTGTAAAATGACTTTATTCACTATAAAATATAGAAAGGCATGTGCAGCATGATCACAGCATATAAAGGTATAAAAACAGCGCACGATATTTGACAACGAAATTGGAGTTAGAAATCAACATCAAGCTGCCACGTTCATCGGCAGAAGTGAGAAACAGAATCATTGGTATGTTGCATTTGGGAGCCAGACATGACACCGTCGTTAGACACCAGGTGCTCCAACGCTACCGGTGGGCAGGACAGACCAAAGACAGGACGACCACCGCGCCCGAAGAAGATCGTTTGTTGCGTGTTCTTCATTTGAGGAATAGCTGCCCATCAGGACATGCCTGCCACGTCATACATTTAAATTCCATCCATGCAGAATGACTTCAATCTGAACCATATTGTGTTTACAGTGAGGCCAGACTGACTCAAGTCTGATATAGCGATTGGTATAGTTTATTTTGCTCGTCGGTGTATTATAAGATGATCAAACGTGTAAGATGTACGTAAACGGCATAGAATAACCAGTTTTGAATATTCGATGAACAGATTCCATTAGGGATGAAAGGCTAAATAGCAGTGAAAATTATATGAATGGATCACTGAAATTCAACGATGACACAAGATGTTCGCGAAAAGGGTAAGCATGTCATGTCCTACCGGGCCCCCCCCCCCCCCCCCCCCACACACACACACACACACACTCCAAGACATCTTGATCAGCCATATTGAGCAACAACTCTTAAAAAATCAAAACAAATGTCACAACTCAGTTTGACCCGGTCGTAAATGTGTGTCAATTTGGTAGAGTTTTAGCCTAGTGTGAGGAGGTTCGTTTCGGTGCCTTTTCCTGTGTATGTTTTTTAATTAGAGGATTACCAGCAAGGCGTCATGGGCGTTGTACGTTTTCACGGAAATAACCGACAACCAATCGGAGGGATCGGCATTCCTCTCCTTTGGAGGTCACGTGGTGTAAAGGGTGTTATTGAATCTTCGTAGGTGACCTTACATGTTTATCATTTTGATTCGTCACCGATAAAAGTCACAAACGGTTTTATGATCCAGTGTGTGTTCAAAACAGGAGGGGCCACGTGATCTTTTCCACACACAACACATTATTTTTCAGAAATAGAATGTCCAGTTAACACATATTTGGGGCGTTTAAACCTGAAGGCAAATTGTTTTATTAAAAAGCATTTTCGGGAACAGATTGGTTTAGGGTAAATATCCGCCAGATCACCACATCATGGCTGGTTGGTTGGTTGGTTTGAACATTAAAGCTGGTGTGGTTTACACAAAGGTCACATACGGTTGGTTTTAACGGGGTAACTGATACAGACATGTGTATAACTTATGACGCATGGTGTATCGTAATATTTATAAAAAAGAATAAAATGCACTGTAAACACATACAATGCATGTTTAGATCTGAATATGTTTGGGGTCTAAACACATGAAATGAACTATCTTCTCACAGACTAAAAAATACACCTAGACACAACATCCCCATAATCTAAACATGTTTGGAATTTATACGTGTTTACCACATGGCTAGAAAATATACATGTTTACGACAAAGTGCATATCATTGTGTATTTCCCTGATAGTCTTAACAGTTTTAAATTTTAAAATGTTTAAATAAAGCGAATATCATTGGTAATTCATTCAAATAAGGATACCATGTATTATATTATTGAAATTAGATGTGCAATCAGATTTACAGGGAACACTTGCATAACA